TCATTTTTCCCAGACTAGATGTTGTGTGGGTAGAGAGGGATCACAGTAAAAATAGGAGACTCTTGCTTCCGGTAAACAGCACTGCCGTCTCTCTGTCTAGACTTACACCACCGTCTGAAGAAAAAGAATAACCGGGCCATGGGTTTAGATTAATCTGATTTTCAAAGACTTTTCTTCACACCGTTGTAAACTGAAATTGTTATGTAGTTCCAGAAGGTCACCGAACATTGGATGAATTTCGCTCATCGCTAATAACAGGAACTGGCAGAGGGTGCAACGAGTCCTGACACCATTACAGCCTGCGCTGGACAGTATTGGCTTGGCTTTAATTAGTCTTTAGAGGAGGCAGCAGTTTGTTGACAGCACCTTTATGAATTGGCTCATAAAAACTTTTTATTAATCCCAGCACAGGTCACAGCGACCAGATACTAACTGAACTGCTGTACTGCAGAAAAAGGAAGGCGATACCTGAAGATAATTACATAATTACAAATAAAATAGAAGCAGATTTCTTGACCTTTCTAAAGAGCAGCTTAGCTGTTGTTAAGGTAGGGCATTTTAAGCCTCACTAATAATAACGCTGTTGTGACTCTGGCCTGCTCACTGAATTTTGGATTTTAGTAGTGGGTAGTGCCCTTCAGAAGAGAAAAAAAAAAATCAGCAAAAGCAGAAGATACGTCAGTATCTTGAATATTCAAACTTGTATTTCCAGGACGTTGCTATTAAAAGGCAAACGAGCCAGGAAATACCAGTCCTGAAGTTGACTTTGCAACCTTTGTTTGCCCCCGTATGCCCCAGAAGGCTTTATGACGGGATCACGAAATTGTGTTGTAGGGTCCGTAGTCCGCTGCAGAGCGTGAAACAGCTGCAGTTTATTGCTGTTGAAAGTACAGCTATCCACAGGCCACCTTCTTGGTTCCTAGCTGCACCGACATGGGAATCTAGAAGCAGAATCACAGAGAGGCTTTTCTAAGACACTTGGCATCCGAGTCGCTCACAAACACAGTCCCCATCCACCTGGCAAAGGAAAAGGGACCCGCTGCCGTGGCACAGCCAGGAAGGAGGCAGGCGGCGAGGTCTGAACAGACAGACCCTCTGGTGCGATGTGCCCCGCCAGGGTCCTGGCTGTCTCCTGCATCTCTACAGCTATCTGATGGGCTCATTTTGAATCAATATGCACTTGGATTAATCTATAGTTAGAAAAAAAACCTAGGATTCAGTGTTTTGGATAATTTTTGAGATTATTTTCCTCTGAAGGTTGGCAATTTTTAAACATCCCAGATGGTGTCTGTGCGGCATAGCCATGGAGCCAGGGTGGGAAAAGGAGGACTGCCATGTTCACTGTTTCTAGCCATCGTCAGCATATATACACACATCGGGTTTGATTTTTAATTCCTCTCTTACCTTCTACCTGCTGAAGCCAGAGAGCGGAGAGCAGGTTTTTCTAAACAAATACTTTTTTTTTCTTCACCTTTTGGTTACAGATTTTTCCAGCTGAGAATCATAGAATCATTAAGGTTGGAGAAGACCTCTCTAAGATCATCGAGTCCAACCGTCAACCCAACACCACCATGCCCACTAAACCATGTCCCCAAGCGCCTCATCTACACGTCTTTTAAATACTTCCAGGGGTGGGGACTCACCCGCTTCCCTGGGCAGCCTGTTCCAATGTTTAACTACTCTTATGTAGGTTAGTACTACTCTTATATGTAGGTTTCTTCATGTAGGTTGTGAATTACAACAAGCAGCTGCACAGTTATATGTTGTAAATGACTGACAGGACTTCCGTTAATCTACTTCAAAGTAATTGGGAATAGGAATGTTCCTTGAATTCTTACTTATTTTACTGTGGAAAAAGTCCTGTCACGGAGTTTGCTCTTCCCTTAGATTTCATGGGTTTTGGTCTTGATCCTTCTTGGTCCTTTGAAGGAAAAATGATTCTACAACTTTTCCAATAGTCTTTAAAATAGAGCAAAACAAAATCAAAGCTAAGCTACAATGAGTAACCAGTCATTTAGGAAGATGTAGAGGGCTTAGACAAAGAGGTACTATTTCCGTCAGTCCTTTCCTCTCAGGACAAGAGCTGCATTTTTCTCCAAGTCAGTAAATTCCTTCACAGTGCCAGGAAGGCTTCTGGGTATTTGTAGCCGAGGGCCGGAGTTCCAGTTGGTGGGACATGTGGGTAAGACAGAGCCTGTTGGAGAAGGGAGAGGGGGAGGCGAGAACGTCCTTGAACGCTCACTCAGTTTGGCAAGGAGGTCTGACTAGAGCTGGTGAGCTAGGCTCGTGGTAATCGGGGAAAATGTGATCTAGTCGAAAGGTTGAATTCGGGGAAGAGACAGTGGGATGGTGTAGCCATACGTTTGGGTTAATACCCAGACTGTAGTCTTCATCGTACTAGCCTGATTACCTTGTATAAACAGCGCGTGCCTTACAACGACCATGCCCTTGAAGAAGAACTAGAAGACTGATAAAAGGGGAACATCCTGCCCTAAAAGGCGTTGGAGGCTAGGGGATTGCCAAAGAAACAGGCACCGGCGGTGCGGGGCAGGGCGGCCCCCCGCTGCCGGCCCCGCTGCCTCCGCTCCCAAGAGAGCTGGAGAAATCCCGGGGCTCTCTTGCCCTTCTCTATAAATGAGCACAGCGCCCCTCCCTCCCCTGTCTCCGCGGTGTCGTGCGGTGGTAAAGCCTTACTTTCCCCATGCGGTTAGCAAGTTTTGGGTGCTTCCTTGCTGTGCTCCATTGATGAAATTTGGGGTATAACTGGAGCGAATCATCTCTTTTCCCCACTGGTCACGCTTCTTTTCGGTTTCCTAGATTTCTAGGACAAGCAGTGAGGAAACGGATCTATAAAGGTATTTAGGTATTTAATTCTCATTGAAGTTGATGTCATTTGGACTTGGCACCTGAAAGGGTTTTTTTTGGGAGGGGGTTGCCCGGAGTTTACGGTTTTTCTTTTCTATTTTTTTTTCTTTTAGGACCCTGTGTCATGACTTCCCTGACTCCCCTACTTCCCTCCTGCTTTTATTTTTTTTTTAAACCAGCTGTTGTCTTTCTCTTCTCTAAGGAAAAAAGCACTGTTTTGTCTGCTTATTCTTTCTTTCTCTGGGGTAGTGGGAGAAAAAAACCTACGGAATATTTCAGTTGAGCAAGCGGAATTTACATTTGCCCTGAACTTTACCTTTTTTTTTTTTTAAATCTGGATCTTGAAGCTAACACACATACTTGTCAACTTCAGAGAACTTGACCTTCTTGTAGATCTTGCCAGAGTTTCGTACTGTTAGGTACTGTTGTGAAATATATGCTTTCCTTTTTTTTAAACCTTGTTACTCACTTAGCTATTATGTTCTTCTGAACATCCAAGTGTCATGTCAGTTGTTTCATTTCTCCTTCTTGCCCCTTCACTGGCATTTTGGTGTTGGCTTGATGTTTGGTATAAATCTGTCAGCTTTCTCACAACCTTGGGAAAGCAATAGGGCTGTCTTTGCAGAGGTAGTGACTAGATTGGCAGGCCGGAGGCGTTATCTCTTGTTTTCTCTGGGGCAAGAACAAATGAAATTAACAAGCAAGTAACTGTAACTGCTGTTGTAATGGACCTGTTAAACTTCGCTTCAGGGCTTGCTTACAAGAAGGAAAGAAACATCAAGACACAAAGAGCTGAAGCTGACAGAGATAAATCTTGTATCGAGTCTTGTCATTTTATAGTGTGACTGTCGTCATCTCAGTGGCTTACTGGACCTTACCGTTTGCCTTATGAATATCTCGGCTGATTCTCCATTTTATACTATGAGAGCTGATGTTACCTGAGCATCTGTTTCATGTCTTGGTAACTGCTGCATCAGACCTGTCTGGTCTTCTATACAAACTAGTTCATGGAAAGTGCTGACTTCTTACAAGTTTTTTGCCTTGATTTTGTTTAACTAATTCATATGACTAAAGGATAAACATTTCTCCTACCATTTTAGTGGTGGTGGGGCCTAAAGGGAATGAATCTTGTCAGGATTATGTTGGTTTTGGCCAAAATGTTAAGAAGAATGAGTTGCCTTCAACTAGGAGTAGTGTCAAAATGTATTAAGCCATGACAGACTGAATGTTTTGGTTTTATGACTTTGGCATTCTGTCCACCTTTTATTGTAATTTATTTATCAGTGCAGTTATCTTCTATAGTGGAGGACTGACACAGCAAAAAATCTCTTCATTTCAGTTATCAAATCTCCATATGTAACTTTCTCCACTGTTGCTTTGCACTGTGAAGAGTTACTGTTGTGCAGCTGCATAGATAATTGCACTATTTGCAGTTTAAATCCATTTCCTTTCCTGTGTCCTGGTAGTTGACTGAAAGCTTACTTCCTAGTGTTAGAGAATTGTTCCAGTAACCCCTCCCCTTTCTCTCTTTTTTTTTTTGGCCAGCCAAAAAGTAGCTCTGAATATTGTCATGTGAAGTATGGATGAGAATGGTCATAGCAGGTTGTCTGGCCAGGGATGTGGCAGGGGTATTTTCACAGCAATTCTTTTGAAGGAGCGATGTCAAGCAGTGGTATACTGCGGTAGATGGTGCAGTGAAACTGGATTGTAAATGATGATGAAAGTCTGACCTTTCTCCAGCAAAATTGAACTTCCTCTTGGCCTAATGTACTGTAACTCTCTCAGTATTCACATCTGAAACAAACTCTCATTCTTCAAGTACTCTAGGCCATCCTCATCTTTCATCGCAGTCATTTTAACTGTATATATCATATTCTTTGTTTGACTGCTAAGAATATGGTGATAGATGTTGAATAAGGAACTAACTGTAACTTGTTTTTGTACTCCCCCCCCCCCCCCCCCCGCCTATATGGTTTATATATGAGAGGAGAGGCAATGCTAGATTCCAGCCAAGGGCTTTCTGTAAACAAGTCCTGAAGAACTCTGGAATTCTGTCTTTTTTTTTTCCCCCCCCCCCCCCCCCAGTGCTTTAGTTTTGGTAATTGACTTTGTTCTAATATTTGTGTTCTAGATTGAAGACAGCAGTAATGCTAACTCTGGCAAGCAAGTTGAAGCGGGATGATGGTGTCAGAGGACCCCGTGCATCCAATCCAGCTTCTGATTCAACTCGGAGGGTGTCTGTCCGAGATAAATTACTTGTTAAAGGTGAAAAGAACTTCTGTTTAAATATTTTGGGATTTACAGTTTGCAGATGTGTTGCCAGTAAACAATATTAAAATAATATCCAGAAGTATTTTTAAAATTGCTTGTGACTTATCTCAGGATTTATACTGTAGGGTATATATTGGTGTACATCGCATCTCCAACATCCCTTTGCCTGTAGGACGCTTATTTTCACTGAATAATGCAAAACGTAAAAAGCCTCCTCCTTACTCTGCTGAAAAATTAATCCATCATTGGGAACTGCGTCATCAAACATTACGATAAAAAATTGTCACATAAGTGTCACTAAATATATAGGGGGAGAATATCAGAATTGACTTGATAGGAAGGTATTTTTTGAGCAAAAATGTAACTGCCTGTGACAGGAAAGAAAGTCCTAAAAGCAACATTAGTGTTCCAGTGGTCTTTAATTGTATAGATCAGAGGCAATAAAGTTTAAAAAGCTTAAAAAAAAAAAGCAATGCAAAGATATATTTTTCTTAGGCCTGGAGTCATCAGAAGTTGATTATGAAGTAGTGAATAAAAAACCAGCACTCATTTTTGTAGTACAATGTGGTCTGTTCTAGGAAGGCTACTGTAGGTTGTTACTAGCTGGCTTTCAATTGGTGGGGAAAAAACCCCCCGAACTTTTACTCTGTGGCAGTTCTGGGTAAATGAGGTAGTTTGTGAGACAATAATTAAACTATTTTATAGTAAAATCGGGGACAGCTCTTTATTGCTCTTCATTTTTTCTGTAGTGTAGATAATCTTATATTTAAAAATCCATAGGTGCTGACACTTTGCAGTTACTATGGGCTTAAACTCAGGTTTACTCCCTCTGGTAATAGTTGAGTGTTTTAATGCTCGAGCTGTGCAGCTTGATCTAGTGGCAAGGAATATGTTGTTCAGGTTGATTTTTCTGCTAAAAATGATCGATAGTGAATATACTACTGTTGATGTGGAAGCTGTCACGGTTAGGATTCCTGCCAGTCAAATGAAATGTGCTCATTTCCTGGTCTTATTTCAGAATGGCTTGAGACTGACAGTGGTGTATTTGCCGGAATGATATCGCCTAACCATAGTGTTACATATGGCTTTTTCGAATTTGGGTAGATTCTGCCATATCACTGTATAGTGGAGCAAGGTTCCACTGCAAACTGAGAAGTGCCTCAACTAGACTGTAGGAACATTATGGTCACAATTTTCTCTCTTTGCATTGTTCTAAGGACAGGGAGTTTTAATTCGCTTTGAACCCTGATGTGATAACTTGCAAAGAGGTTGCTTTAGACTTCCAGTTTGGAAATCCTCAGTTAATTCCAATTCTGAGGGGGAAAGCTATCAGGCAAGAGGAATAAGCTCTTTAACCAGGCTAAGCTACAAAGCCAAATTACTAAATATATATAATCTGAGATTTTCGTTAACCTACAAGTGTAGACTTGAGGGGAAAATAGCTGTGTAATATAAATACACTTCAGCTACAATGCCTGGTATAGTGTAAAGTGCCATAAGAAATTTTACTGTACCCTTAGAGTAATTGTGTTTCTCACTTCTATGACTAAAACCTTACCGATGTCTGCAGGGGAAGAAAAGCATGTAAGCTATGGAAAATTGGTATCGACATTGTAATTGCTATGGCTACCATTAGCAAACCATTGCAGACTAAGTATTGAATGAGTTGAGTCCCAAACTGACAAATGTTAAAAGCAGGTCACTACCGGCATCCTTCTGACAAGCGTGTTGGATCGTGATCTGATTGTGTGTGAAAGTTGTATCATGCGGCTTTCCCAAAAGAGTTGTAGGAGTGGCTGTCAGTCTGGTTAGAATGGTTTCTAGACCGAAATGGTAACTGACAGTAGAAGTAGATCACTTTGGTATAACTATGCTGAAAGTGAAGGGAAAATCTGGTAGGTAGTCTGAAAAAGACTTGTTGGGGATATTCTCTTTTAAGGTACACTTTAAACTTAAATGTAGACCATTCAGTTACAAAAGTTTCTAGAACTTGCTCCAGCTCTTAAAGCTAGATCAGCTGAAGCAGCATCTATGACGTTCAGAGCCTGAGTGAGGATGGACTCGGGATGTTGACAGGTTTTTTAGGTCATGTCTAGATCTGCAGGAATGAGTTTGATAGGGAGTGAAGACTGCCTGTTAAAGGTGTGTATACAGCGAGGATGCCTTTTACTGCTTGATTGTGTGAAACTGTAAGAGGCTATTGTATTAGACTTGAAACAAAGTTGGTGGGAGCTTGTAAGAGTAGTTGTAAGTAAAAGTTGTTACTGATGTTTGTTTAGGCTGGAGTTATCAAACAAATGACAGTTGCAGAACGGGTGAAAGGCTCAATCAGGTCAATCTCCTGGCAACTGTGAATTCTTAAATAATCTGTTCTACAAAAAAGAAAAGAAACGCTGGCTATCAGTAAGGGAGGAGGAGGAGATGAGAAAAGGCCTGTCATGTTATGTCCTTGTTTGCCCCAGCAGTTGTGCTGAGGTTGGTGCTGGTTCAGTTGTACCTCTTAACGGTGTTAGTGGTGGTGGTTTTATTCTACTGTGTAAAGCCTCTGAGTTGAAAGAACAAGGGACTGTGGTGACGTACGTTAGAAAGCTCAGTGATAGCTACGCTCTTTCTGTAGCACATCTGGATCCTTTTTGGCGTCAAATAAGTCTATAGCTCCTGAGTCAGTAGGAGAACAGCAGGCAGCTGGTCTGTGCAGTGTCCTCCACAGCAGCTTAGACACAGGGTGGGCTGTCCTGGAAGCTTAGCTGAGGGTGATTTTTGGCACAGTACCCTAAAGCCCACCCGACCCTGGGAGCTGGAGATAGCATATGAGCCAAGGTCAGGTAGCTATTCACCTGCTCGAGTGATGATGTGCTGGAGAGATACTTTCCTATTCCTGATCCACAGTAAATTGGTGATAGTCTAATAAATTCTGCAGACAGATGTCTGCCAGTTTTACTAGAGGTATTGCCCAGACACAGACAGTGTCTGGTTTTTATCTGGAGGTAAATTAAAGACAGCCTTGTTTGTGTTGATAGAGAGTCCCGTCCAGGGAGGCATTATAGGATCTCTGTGAAGGATGTGTTGTCACACTGATAACCCTGCAGTCCTCAAATGTATTGTGTATGCTGACTGGTAAATAGATCAATGACATTTTGATTATGGGGTAGATGGCTGTGACCCCAGCCAGTGATAAGTGTAGATGATGCTTACAAACTTTTAAAAATTTGGCACAGACTGACTAGATACATCTCCTAACTGATATTGTCTTAAAGTAGGAAAAATAAGTGATAATTTAGGTATGATCTTAGCTATTTGCACCATATGGATGAGAAGAAAACTCAAAGTTGGCATTTGAAATCCTTTTACTAAAACTGGAAGTATGTGAGCTATCAGCTGAGTGTTGTCAGGTGCTGTCCTTGGCTTTAGTGATGAGTGCAAGTTAAACAGGCTTTTTTCCCACTTCTGTGAAAAAGTTACTATTAAAATACTGGTGCCCTTTGTTAGTTTTTCTAAGCTGTGCCTTTGATTACTTACATGTCTCGTATTATTATATATTCAAATATCAATCATGGCTCAGGCCACTGTTTTGTTGGGTTATTTCATGGACGTATTGTGAAAGGAAAAAAAAATCTCTATCCCTAAAGTTTTATGTAGGGAAGTAATTCTGAGACAGCTGGATATTCTCTTCCAGTCGTTTTTCCTCTGGGGTGTTAAAAGTTATGGCTGCTAAACAGGATTTGGTTATCCTGTTTATTATTATATCAAATATTATTATTATTTGATAATCCTGCTGATTATCTCAGAAACTAATGGAGCACACTTGGGAGGTTAGCAGGGTATATGTGTCTGGGGTGAGGAGCATGGTAGTTGTTCTGATCTGAAACCCTGGGAAGTCGCAGGAAAACATCCACCGCTTCAAAAATCACTGAGGGCACAAGTGTCTGAGGGAGTGGGAAGGCGAGGACTAGTAATTCAGGCTTGACACTTCTTGGAGAGAGGCTTTCTGGCCAAGAAGGAGTGACCGAGCAGTGACTTACATGTTTCAAGACAAGTCAAACAGAGGCAATGTGAACAACTGGAGAAGGTAGAAAGCAAATACTGATGTGGGGAGGAGGAGCAGACAGAAATGGTGCTTGAAGGGGCTTTGCTGCCTCTCTGGCAGGGAGAGAGGCTTTAATAAAGCACAACTTTGTTAAGAGTTCAGTGTGAGTTATTCTTGCATCTCTGTTTTCACTGAATTTTCAATGTAGGCTTAGTTGGAGAGTAAGGCCCTAATTCTGTAGACCTAGTACTAAAGTTAAAATAGAGCAAGCAGTACACTTACTTTAGTGGCTTTCAATTTGTTCTGTGCTGCAAAGGCAATTTTTGATGCTGAATTCATCTCTAAGGGGGAACTTAATGAAGTTAGGAATAGGGGCCACACAACTGCTCCTGCAGAATGCTCTGAGCCATGCAGTGCTGAACTTGAAAGGGATATCCTTTCTGAAAATTTGAAAGGAGCTGAGGACAAGTCAAAGTACTATTAAGTTTAATATTGTACAATGAACGTGACTACTAAATTGCATTAAAGATAAAGAACATGCCAGGATGTCAGCAGTAGCAGCGATGTATATGCTTATTGATCACAAAGGTTATCCCTTGAAATGCCTTTTTTATAGTGCATCTAAACATCATTCAGTTTTATATTACCAGTGCTGTTTAGTTTGATTGTGACAGCTTGAAATAACTTAATATCTAAGAAAATGAGTTAGCATTGTTTATTCCTCAGTTGTCTTCAACATTTATGGGTTTTACAACCAGATTTATGTAACCAGAAAATGTTTCAGGTGTGCATTTGTAGAAGGAAGTGGGAAACTGGTCATAAAAACGAGGTAAATGTTCATTGTAAGTAAAAATGAGGAGAATCCACATATTTGCTTTCTTCAAAACTTGAGGTACGGTAATATCTCTCCTCACAATAGTAGGTGAAGAAAATTGAGAAATAAAAGAATACTTTTTTTTCTTGAGAATTAATAAAAACCTTCCTTCGTTAACACTCCTGAAATTACTTGAGGCATTGTTTTGAAAATGTTGCATTAACTTCTGCATATTGCACAACTTAAATCACAGAAGCATTTCCTTTTCAGTGATGCTTCTTAGCCCCCTCCCTCCCCCTCCCAACTGAAATGAAATCCTTTATTTTGGAAGAAGACAGTGGAAAGCTGCTTGATGAATGAGTGATTTATATTTATTAAAGAGGAAGCTAATAGTTTACACTAAAATGCTTGCAGCCTAACTGTGATAGATACTGTAAAGCCAAAAAGACTCAAGAAGAATTGAAGCTAATTTGAAAAATTATTACTGAGACTTTTTCCAGGATTTCACTGACAAAGGGAGGCCTGGTTCAATGTATTGCTTCACTTCTTACGCCTCTGATTTTCAGCATACCTGAAGTATGAGTTGATACATTGCAGTGTTAAGAGATTTCCAACCACAGTGGCTTTTTCTAGTTTTTGATGTCAGGATAATAAGTTTTGTAATAGTGTATAGAAGCTGAAGCATGTGATTTGATAGTATCTTGTTTAAAATAAACATTTGGATGTGGAAGGAAAATACACATCTCTTACTCTATCGAAAAACTTGCAGCATTAGGCAGCTTGTTTGACTTCTAATACTGCTACATATGGTTGTACAGTTCAGAGGAGCTAAGTGCTATAAAGATAGATGGATAGAATTAGGAGGCAAGCAGCATTATAGTGCTAGAATTAATACTTAGAAAATGGAGTTTTTGTTAGAGTGTCAAGGTATTTATTGTGATCTCTAGCAGTCTTAAAGATGCACATTAAATAGGGGACCTAAACAGGAGAGGGAGGCTTTTTGGTCAAAACCAGAGAGAAGTAAGTATTGCTGTGGATGAGAATAATGTTTGTTTCAGTTGAGGAAATAATGCTTTCATTTTGTGTACTGAAAAACAAACTCCGGTGGGAAGCATATGGCCTGGCTCTTTGTGGCAAGGCTAGTAAATAAAGCACTTCTGTATTCTGACTTGTTGAGTTGGGGTGGGGGAAGGGGAGGGAACAATGTGATTATAGTCTGTGCGTTACTGAATATAACATTCACGTGGGTCTCTCATAAACCATATGCCCATACACACGTCACGAGTGTGTGTTCCTATTTCTGTCCTGAGAATTGTCATAGGTAGGGAGAGTTATTGTTTGTGAAATCATTTATAAATAGCTCTGGTTGCTTGTGTTAGGCTTAGCTTTCCCCTGTTTTATAAAGTTCCTAAGCTGCTACTGAGACATAATAAATATGCATTCAACTCTTCCAAAGTCTGTGTTAGGTTTAAGTTTAATCCTTGCCTTTTTATTCTTTTTATGGTTTAAAATAGCATTTGGAACTGTTCAAGCAAGTGCATACTGGGTCAAGAGCAGGACTCTGCAAATATACCTGCCACTAGGGTGTGCTCCTGCACCAGATCAAATAAGGTTTCAGGAACACCAGACTGGCTGGTCGGGAGCTGGTCTGGGCTGACTGCACCCAAGTTTGTTCCCTGCAGAAGCTCTGGCATGTGTCTGTGCTTACACTATGGCCTTTTGGACCTACCTGTGAGGGCTCATCAGCGTGGGTGCAGGGCCTTGCAGTGCAGGTGGATTTGCTGCTTCTTGGCAATCAGCCCTCTTGACTGCGGGAGGGATTCAGATGCTCCACAGTGTTTCTGCACCTCTGCTAAGCTAGCGCTGAGCAGGCGTTGACGAGCAGTGGTTTCCCGTTGAAGTTCTGGAGTGCTTTTGCACAATATTTCCTGAAACTTGGGTTATCCAGTTGTTTGCCTCGGCATCTTAAGGAACAGTGAGGTGCGGCTGTGAATTGAGACACAGATACTAATTATCCACAAAACATTATGAAAAGCAGTCAAATTGGATTTTCTTTACTGTTCAGCTGTAGTTACAGTCATTTTTTGCAAGAGGAGGTCAGAAAGATTGTGAGATTAAGTTTGTTCTTTAAGTGAGGCTTTTGGAGCTCTTGGAAATTCAGTGCATTTGGAGCTCTAATTGTTGCTTCTACATTTTGATTATTTACAAATCTGTTAAACCATGCCAATATGTTGGCAGACTGCACAAGGGCCATTTTCTTATGGAGAATATTCTTGTCAGTGGTATTGCTTTATGTAGAAAATACATACCTTAAAACATCAGAATCTTAATGGAGCTTGAATGATGTGGTCAAAATGTTTGCAGCGAAATACAAAAATTATTTCAATGTCAAGACTGTCACTGCCAAAGAGTCATAGAATTTGGAAAACTCACAAACACTGTAGCTTTGGCCCATTAAATGGGCTAGTTATTGTTAATCACCAATGTTTATATGGCTCAGTTAATAGTAACATCTGTTTCCTTACTTGATGTTACTTTAAAAGTTTAGATTATTGAAGCAGGTCTCTTTTTTCATCTTTATAAAGTTGTTTTGTTCTTAGTTTCAGTGGTTTGTTGCAGAGTTGATTAGAAACCTTAATTTTGGGGAACTTGCCTTTGTTTACAAAGCTTTGTGTGGATTACTTATAGCCTTCTCACGTCTTTGCACGCCTTCAAAGAAAGAGCACACTATTTAATACTCATGGGTGTGAGCACCTTTGTTACCATGTTTTCACAAGAAAACCCGCTCATTCTTGTGCCAAGACAAAGGGAAACATGGAAGCGTGAATGTATTACAGCAAATTTTTCACACTTCAAAGGAACTATGGCGATCAGTAAACTCTTTACTGCACCTTGCAGGAGGCAGAAGTGAGGTCCCAGCTCACCAGAGCTGCTGCAGCCTGGCCATTGCTGGGTTTGAACATGCTCTGTCCTTTTGTGTCTCCCTTTTCTCTGCTGTCCTTTTCTCAGAATTGAAGCAAAGGGTGGGCAGGATTCATTAAACTGAACAACACACAAACACAGGAAGCAATAAGGAAAGCAGTCAACACCTTAAAATAAGAGCCACGTCCTAAACTCTACCCTCTAGTGAAGATTGATAGTGCTTCCCACTATGAAAGGCTGCTGAGTTTAAAGTGAAAGGGTTGGGGGAATAGTCTTACAATGGGTTTGTATAGCTGCAGCCTTCAGTAGTTATGTCTTGTCTTTTTTTTTAACCAGAAAGGGAAAGTAAAAATAAAGTCCCTGATTACAGCTGAAATTACATTTTTGGTATATTATAAAGACAGTACTCTTTGAAAACTTTTAGTAAAAGTGTGCCCCCAGTGTCATGTGTCTTTCAGTGCACAACTTTGGTTAAATCAGCTGTGGCTACTCGAGTGCTGCAGAGTGTGGGATTTTAAAGAGTGCAAATGTGAACTTTTTAGGTAAGTGTGAAACACAGTGCTTCTGTTTTGGTGGGGTTTTCTCTCTTGGTTTAATAGGCTGCAGATGCAGGGATACCAGAGTTGTGCCAAGCAAGTGGGAGGTGGGAGTCAAATAAGCATCATGCTTGCTGCAGAGACCAGCCAGGTTTGGTAAGCATGGATGCAAGAAGAGTTCTGGGGAATTAGCAAGCTCTTAACGGTGATGAGATCAGTTTGGATTCTGTGCCAAGAAATTGCTCCCCACATCTTAAACTGAATTACAGTTTTCTTTAGACACATGTTTTTGAGAGTTGGTGATGAAATCTCTTACACCTTGTTGTTAGCACAAATAAATGAGCTGTGTCTGTGCAGACCAGAAAGTGAAGTTAGAAATCAAGTGGAAAAAAACACTACAGAAAATGCAAGAATATATTTGATTAGGTTTCCTAGAACTTTAGAAGTAAAAGAGGGAGGTATCTTGATGCATCTCATTCATACTTATGTGAAATACAGGTAGTTGAAAGTAAGACTTCAGTAAAATACACAAAAGAGGGAGAAAGCAGGGGGTCTTCCGGAGAAAGTAGTGTGGCAGAGAAAGGGCTTAGGAGTAAACTTCTCTTCCTAGGAGCTATGCAACTGAATCAGGTTACTTCCTTTCTTTTATGAATAACTTTTAAGTTTTATGCATGGGAAATACAATAAATAAAAGGGAATCTTAACTGAACAGGAGTGTGCATCTATAGCAAGCCGTGCTCTGAGGGAAAATATCCAACAGGGACAGGAGCAAAAAATCTTAACACTCTGAGTTTGTTCAACAGTGCAGAGGTTGGGGGGAGGAGTAATGCAATGGATGCAGTTGTTTTTATCATTTCCCTGTGCGTGTTGCTGTGCTGGGTGCTTGAAGTGAAGGTTTGTCTTTCTCTGTTCTTTCGGTGCTCTCAATGCTGGCTTCTGCAGGCAGGACAACATCTCGTATGACAGCGCCACTGAAGCAGGGTTTCAGTAGCTGTTTCCAAGCGTGCAGTATGTGGTATCGTGCTTGGAGGCTTCTCCACAAAAGCGGTGCCTAACCTGAGGGAGTCCGTAGCTGATGGTGGGAGAGCACTAGCAGTTAGATGCTGGAGAGTGGTGATGCTTACATAGGCTGTGAACCTCCTGTACTTGTTTTTATTATTGGACTGACACCCTGATTCTTGAGGTTTTTCTGTTCTTGTGTTTTGCAGGCTGTGGAGTTATGGCTTTCTGTATTTTAGTGCTTTATGTAGACAACTTTGGAGGTTTGGATAATGCCATCTTTTGAAATGCCAGTGCTCTGTGTATTAGAAGTCCTGGCGCTTCAGTCTTGGCAGAACTGAACCTCCTAATCACAGTAGGATACGTTTGCATTGTCTGTAGGGCAGCTGAACATTTTTAGTGATGAATTGCGTGGCTTAAAGAGAAACTTCAAGGTAAACCTCCACTGCAGCTTAATTATATTTTTAAGTGAAATTTGATTTACAGGGTGGTTTAAATCAGGTCTGCCAATTTGGACTTCAAGAATGGCTTTATGCTTGCATAAATAACAGTATTTTTTTTTTCTTTCAACAGAGGTTGCAGAACTTGAAGCTAATTTACCTTGTAAGTATAGCATTTGATGGCATGCATTTTATGGGGAAAAGGACCATTGAACTGAATGTTTTGACTGAAGTATGAATGCTAATGATATTTGTTAACTCTAGGGAAAGCTGTGCAAAACTCTGCCACTCAGGTTTGAACAGGTTTTTTTTGTTGCTCCCTCCTAAAAGGTTGTGGAGAGGTGGATCTCTTGTTAGTGTCCTTTGGAAGCAGTATTGATCATTTGGCTCTAGGATTTGATTGGTGGTGGAGTGGGAGCTTCCCTCATAAAACACCCAAAAGGTACCTGGAACTGAGGAGTGCATTTACTGCCTCATTTCTGTTTTTCCTCCATTCTCTCATTTTCGAAACAGGAGATGCTGTTTTAGGGGCAGAGCAAATAGCTCAGTTCTCCGGAAATATATTAAGTCAGCCTAGTGCTTTTTCACTTCACATGCAAGTTGTAACCTGATGTGTTTGTTAATAGTGAGAATACTAATGAAAATTTTTTTTAAAAGTAAACCATATTCCTTAAAAAAGCAAGATAATGTGGTTTTAGGCCTGGAATCTAACTTGTATGTTATACTAAAAGTGGAAAATATTAATGGCCACTTTAAAGTAGACTTTTAAGAGCACGGGGTAAGTGGCTTATTGCTTCTAAAGCTGAGAATAGATAGTTAAAAATCAAAAATATGTTTTCTGCTCTTTAGCTTTAGAAAACCTAGTTCTGTAATGGACAACAAAACACAAAGCCCTTTTATAAAAGGGAGTAAAGTTCTTGCTGCTCTGTATTTGTTGCTGAGGGTGGATGTTGACAGTGAAGCTGAGTTGTTGCTGAGCTCCCTTTCTTTTCAAGCATTGACCAGAACAGCATCATTCTACCATGAGTTCTTGGAATACAGGCAAGCCCAACAAGTTATTGCCTAGTAAGCGCAGAGGTACATTCAGAGCCCATCACTTGCTCTACATTAACTTCCTGTGGTGCACGTTCCTGTTTCAGAGTAATCTGTTTTCCCTGCAAGGAAAGAGGCATGAGCTGCTTGCAGCAGACTGAGAGTGTACGTGTAGGTTATTACCATGCTCTGTATTCACACTGTCTTGCTCATGTGCTTATCTTACAAAGAAAAGCAGTGAATATTCTCTCTGATTATGCTGGCAGGTAGCTCGTGATGTTTCTAGTCTTTCCCCAACTAAGGGAATCTTTGACCATATTTTTTTCTCTGCAGGTTAAACTTCTGAGTGCTGCTTCTGATGAGCATCTTCTATTTGCTAATGTTTCTAAATCCGGGTCAATGCTCAGATCTCAAAAATCAGGCTTTTCAGTGTACAGACTGCCTGGTGGGAGAAATTACAAGGGGGAAAAATACAGAACAGAAGCAGCAAAAAGGAGGGCAGGAGAGGCAGTATTTGACTCTTCCTTTCTGTATGCTCTTCATTCTTAAAGACAATTATAGAGATTTTACACAGGGTAATTTTAACTTTTGTTAAACTTTATGTAGACTCTTCTATAGGATAACGAACACCTGAGAAACGTGTGTCAGGGTTTGTAGTTACTACAATGCAAATGCATTACTAGGATTTGTGTACAGTTCTAGTTATTTTTTCAGGCAAATAGGGTCTAGATCTCTGATACTATTTAGCTCCTTGACTACAGAAAAAGAACAGCCAGCGTGATGGATTAAGAAGCTAAAGGCTGCATAATATGGATAATATATCCATGGATATGGCATCTTCTAGTGCCAGCTTGACAGCTTGTCTCTGCCATAGTCAAGAAAGGCCAATGTTGTGCATGGGAAGACATCTTAGTTTGTGTCATCAAATGCTAAGGGCTGTTATGCTGTGAACTTGAAACTAGTCAGTGCTTTCAGTTCAACAGATTCATCAGATTGATGTTTTATCTTTTCACACTGGTTCTTCATTCTCACTATTCTCCTTAAATTCATCTAGTCTGAGAATAAAAGCATAGTGTTTGGTTTGTAATGACGCTCTGTAACCTTTGCTGTTAATGTGAGTAATTGGTTGCGCAGAAGAAACTTGTTCAATATGACAGCTGAATGGAGACTTCACTGGCTTTTGGATGAGGCTTTCAGTAAAGCTTGTATCTCATTATACCTTACAGGTATAAATAATCCTTTGTTAGCATAGGGCTGTGGTGGCATGACTTCTTGCAGACTGCAGTGTATGATCAAATAGTAAAATACACGCATTACCATTAAAGAACTTGTAAGGAAGAGATGCTCATTATGTATGCTGTCATCTTAACATGTAGCTAGTATATATACAGAAGACCAAATTCTTTGGCATTTTAAGGTCTTTGAGACAGCATGGTTTACTGAAAGGAAATAAGCTTCCTCACAGCTCAAAGAAGTGAAGTCCCATTACTGCAGGTGACCTGTAACTGTATAGGGAAGAGGTGCTTAGAGACAAAGTATAGGAGGAAATCACTTGACTGGAAGGATTAATCAGGGAGTAAATTTGGAGAGTATGAAAAATTATATATTTGCTTTCCCAACAGTGGAAAAACAATTGTCTGATGTAAATTATTCTTTTCCTTTGCAGGTACATGTAAAGTGAATTTTCCTGACCCAAACAAGCTTCATTACTTTCAGCTAACTGTAATCCCAGGTAATTTTTTTAAACACGTTACTTTTGTTTGTGTGTGTTGGTGTTGAGGAAACGTAGTTCCAAGAATTTGCTCAAGAATCCAATAAACTTTCTAGTCAAAGAAAGACTGGCTGTAATACAATGATTATTTTATAGGGGCAGTGGAGAAACTGGGCTGGATTTTGAGAACTCTATTCCAATAAAAAGGCCATCAAAATTGGGCAGGTTTAGGAAGTATTCATGTCTTGTTTGCTCACTTTGATTGAAAACATTTTTTTTCCTCTCAGCCAATTTCAAACCACCTTGTTTTATTTGCTGAGAAAAATCTTGGACTATGTCTAGAGAAATTACTCTATTACAGCTCTGTTGCATATTTATTCTTTTCTACTGATTGCTTGAGTCTGCAGAGTTGAAAAGGTAGATGACATGTAACACTATGGAAAACTTCAGATCTATCCATGTCTGAAGATGCTTAACAAGTAGGTGTCTCTTAGTCTTTGAATATTCAAGTATGTGGAAATTAGATCTTTTATTATTAATAAAACTAATGTAAATATATTTTGAAGCTTCTGCTGGCATACTGTTCAATAAAACAAAACCTCAGGACTACGTTTTCACAATTTATCATTTCCATGTAAGTTTCTTAATAGCCATCTGAAATTACAGAGCTTGCTCACATGGCTGTCCATTTTAGAATAGAAAGTTGTGTTTGTGTTTAAGGGATGAATTTGCATGGAAGATTATTTAAATTTCATACACACTTATTTTTGCTGTATGTTACCTTTGAGACTCTGTGCAACTATTTAAATGAGAACATTGATGTGTTCAGTACACTGAATTGTTTGAGTTAGATGTGCTGAGATCAGGATTTCCCTGCCAACTAATTCTTGTAGATGTATATTTTCTGTAGATGCTTATTGACAACAGAATTCGGATGCAGTATGGCAGTCACCCTGATGTCTTACCTATACAAATAATGGTTTACACTTAACAGGGTGATAGGAATTTTTCTGATAATCCAGTATCTTGAAGTCAAACGGGCGCTAGATGTCACTGTTGCTGCTTATTAGCCAAAATCAACTAGCACTGCCTCGGCAGTAGAAATCTTGGGTGGTCTCTGTTAACGTGTCCGTTCATGTGACTCCTTTTTGTGATGGAAAAATGAGTAAGACTGCCCTAGTCGGTGTAATAAAAAATAAATGCAAGTGCTATTATAGAACTTTTAGCCTCTCATTCTGTGTAGATGTATTCACGTTTACTTGGTGAGTGTTAGTCTGCTTGCACCAAATGTCATTCATGAAGTTTATATGATGCTGCTTTATTATATTTTGGAAATGAGTTGACTTTACAAGATTATCACCGTGCGAGTTAGCGATGTGTTGAATATGAAGCAATGATAATATGAAGCAATGATAGCTTCTTCATACTAATTCTAAGGTGTCTAAATACTTAGTCATTTTTTTTGTCTGTTAAGTGCTGTACAGCAAGATGTTGCAGTCAGAAGACAATCGTTGAGCGCAGAGCATGGTTTTTGTGCTAGCTTCATTGCTGAAATGATCTTGGGAATGAAATGATCTTAATTAACATTTTGTTACTCTAAATATAGCTGCACAGCTGAAGTCTCTGCAGTAGCAGTCTGACCGAAGTAAACATCTATTTTCAGCTGTGCATAATTCAGGTGCAGAATCTTGTGATGAGCTACAGCTTAGCACAACTCTTTAAAGGCAGAATGTAACACATACCAAGAAAATCTTTGCAGCTTTCCGATTCCCTTCATTATTGAGGTTTTTCTTTAGAGTATGCTAAATCTTAGTTTTCTTTGGAATAGCAGAGAGGCAGCTAAGTGGCTGCCACAGAATTTTTCTGGCTCAAATGGTCCAAAATCTTTGCTTGAGGTGACTGTTTTTGCAGTGTCTAAACAATGTTGCATGGATCTTGACAGTCCAGAGTAAGAGCCAGTTTTTCTTCTCCTGCCTGGAACTGTCTTTTGCATTGAGGAGCTGAGTTACTTCTAGAAATCCTGCTCATACATCTGGCTCTTAAGGGAGTGCTTTGCAAATATCTCTGCAGCTTTCCGATTGTGGAACAAGAGCTGGGCTCAGCACAGCTGCAGGTGCCAGGGAATATCTAATTCCACCTTGCAGTTCTCACTGTTAGGACCTATACACTAAGTGTGCGTAAGCCAGGGTTGGTAGTCTGCACAGCGAAGAGGTTCTTGCTGGCTCACTCCTTAGGGTTCTCAGTTTGCTTATCTGCAGTTACAGAGATTACATCCTTCTATGACAGATCTGTTACAGGGGTGCTAATTATTTTATATTCATATTTTATGTTTAAGTTCTCTTATATTCTGATTAACGTTAGAGCTTGAATTCTGTAACCACATTTTTATAAGGAATCTTACAAGATTCTTTCTTGTAAGAAGTTTCTGCAAGTAGTCAGCTGTCAGGGTACCATGAAGGTACTGGCCGAACATGTTTTTTAACACAGAAATGCCTTTTGCAAGTCAATGTTCTAGCCTCATGTTATTGACAAAGCTTGTTCTCGGGTGCTTTGTTTTATGCAGTTGTTTTGAATGTGACTGGTCTTGAAAGGACAGTGAAAGAAGCTTCTTCAGGTTTTCACAAAAAGACTAATTTGAATAAGAAAATAAACTTTACCACCAAGCAGAAATACTTTCAGCTCCCTTGCTCTGTACTTCTCATAATAACCTTTCTTAGTAAGTATTTAATGTCACAAAATTATCCTGGTGACAGTGAGCTTTAAATTAAAATTAATTTGTAGCAAATCTTGAGGGTGACTGCTTATTTCACATAAAAAGTTACTTGTCCTCAAGAAATTCTGATTTCTTTGTTATAGCTTTCTGCAGTGCACCATGAGTGGATATATAGTAGCACATGCTAGAAAATGGGTAAGACTTAGCTTTTACTGCCACAATGGACAAACTGTGTGTTCCCAAGGCAGATACTGCTGGCTTTCTCTGTTGTCTGAAGCTTCTTTTTTCCTTTTGTCATCTGAAACAATCATTCTGTCGTTGAAAAATGCCCTTATGCCACCACTTGCCTCTGTTCTTATTTTTGTGCTGGTATCTTATTGGATCAAAAGCTAGGAAAAATAAGGAGATAGGTGCTTACAACACGGGCAGAGTCCTGCCTGCTGCACTGATATTTGGAGCACAAAATTGGAAGCTGAGGCTTGAAACATGGTAATGACCTAGAAAAAAAAGGTGAGTTTAGATAGCATGCACATTGAAGAAAACTAGAGGAATATGCAGAGTTAATGCAATTTTCCTGCAGTTCCCAGACAACTGGGGTAGTTTGGGGTTAGTACGATTATTTTAGAGTCCCATTCTTCAGGGAATTAATAAAGAGCCTGTTTTCTGTTTTGTGTGTCATAAAATGACAAACGTCAGTGAGCATGGCTGAACATTTCAATGCTGCTGATTCAAGGAGCTACTATCAAAAGCACATCCTTTGTGGCCTGTCCTAATTATCTTGCATTTTCTTTTAAAGTGATAAAATAATTTAGTTTGGTATTTTCACAGCACTTTTAGCCATCAAAACACCTTACGAATGCAAACTAAGATTAGAGTCAGGTTGTTGATAATGAAACTTGAGACTGAAATGGTAGGGATGCTTGCTCTGTTAATACAGCTTGAAGGCATAAACTTAGGCAGTAGGAAGAAAACTGGAGCTCAGACATACTCTCTTTTTGCAAAAGTCTCGTCAGTGGCCAACTTCCTAATTTATGTGCTAAAGCTATTTTATTTGACTGTGTTATTTATAGCACTTTCCTCACTATTAACTCTGCCAGAACTTCAGTTTTTCCCACCACTGTTACATGCCTAAAAAATTGAGGGTCTTTGTCCCTGTCTGAGTGTTGTGGGACACAGGGAAGGAAACTACCATGTGGGAGAACCTATTTACTTGCTTGAGATGCCATAAGATGACTTCATCATGAAGGCTTATCTTGTTAATACATTGCAAGATTTCTGGCTCGGTACTGAGGCATTTCAGAGATATGAATTTTTAATATACATTTGAGTGAGTGATAATGTGTAGCATGCTTTGTTGTTGTTTAGCGAAAAGATTTACAAACATCAGGGAGAATTGTAAAAAAAGGGGGAGGAGGGATGCTTTACTCTTCTGATCTGGTAAATACGTCCTTGCTTATTTTATAACAGAACCAGTAGGGTACCCAGTGCACTTTTTGGTTAGTGGTAGCATGGACTGATGCCAAGGTAAACCCAAAACATAAAATGAGAAGTTGTAATGCAACACAGTGAGTCTCCCTCAAAGACGAATCAGTACAATCATGTAAGTATGTGGAAGTGTCCCGCAGTGTGAGGTACAATGCCTAAAGTGCTCTAAGTCTTCCAGAGATTTCTGTCTTACATAGAACACAGAAAAACAAATAAAAGAAAATGGACATAATACATGAGGAATCTCTTACGGCCTGTGGAGGTGTTGATACGCGGTTAGAAAGTGCTTCAGCTAATCTAACACGTTTTTGCAGTGAAAAAAGGGTGTTCTTTCACCGCCTGGTCCTGTTACTTCTCTTCCGCTGACACTGGTGATAATTTAACCCCTCTGCACACCAGTTCATCTTGGTAATCCTGCAGGAAACTGCACTCTTTTTGCCGTGATGGTTTTATATAGAGAGAAAAGGCTTGCCCCCTTCAGCTGAGCTCACCTTGTCTGATTTCATCCTGCACGTGGGCACTGGGAGTTTCTGCTGTGGCTGGGTAGAAGTGGAGCTATCCTGAGCTAGGTCTGTGTGGCGAGGAAGAGCAGAGAAAGTGAACAACCGTTCAGCCTTTCCACCCCTGCCCGGTGCATCTCTTGAGCAATGTCAGAGTGATCTTGCTGTCTGTGCTTGGAGTTGAGGGCCTACCATAATGTTCCTGCATGCTGCAGAGGCTGTGGGCCTGGTGTTTTCAGTGTGCAGAGAGATGTGGAGCGTGGCTTTTCTCCTGCTGCTTGACTGGCGGGAATCTGACAGTCTTTTGGCAGATTCTCTTCTCT